TCACTGCTAATGTTTTGGGTTTTTTAAAACAAGAGCCCAATCGTTTTTGCAGTCTGTTCTATAATGAATAATGAGCCTTTTACAGCTTCATTCACCACATTACCCCACTTTTTCTGAATAGATAGTTGTAAAGGTTCTGAAGCATATGAAAGGTGAAGCCATAAAGGAAACTTTTAAGTGTAGATAAATATTAATTCAATGCAATATGAGAATTGACACTGAACTCTGAAATCCACTTTCGTAGCCATAATGGAGTTTATTCCACAAAATTCTTGCTGTTAACTCAGCTTCTTGCCAGCTTCTTTGCTGGAGAAGATGATGATCTGTGTATACCAGTGTGTGTAAATAAAAACAGGTGAGAAGTCACACAACAATAAAGGAAACGTGTTGACTGGACAGATCCAAACCAGACCCAGTGAGTTCATAAACAAGCAGAAGCACTGTCACCACAAAACTTCACTGGTATTTAACTGAAGGATGTGAAAATGTTTTATTTTTCATCTGTTCTGCAGTAAGTGTAATTTATCAGCAGCAGCACCTGTACATGATTTCTTAGTAGGTTAAAAACTCACAGATTAAGTAATTTGTACAGATTTGTCAAGTACGAATTTTGGAGTAAACACTGGAAAGCACACAGACTCACAGACTGACAACTGGATGCCTGCATTTCTATTTCTAGGACTCCCCAGTTCCCTTAAAATTTAGAAATAGACAAAAAAAAAATTGAAGAATAAAATAAAATATTAAAAATACTAAATATAGGAATAGACAAACCATAGATAATTTTCTGGTACCAAATGGCAGAATGAAAGTAGACTGGAAAACATCACGTTAGTATATATACTAATGTATATACTTTAAAATACTCAAGATTTCTCTCATTCACACTTCAGTAAGAACCAAACAATTATAAAAAAAAAATATTGTGTTCTTTCCCTCCCTATGCCACTTTTTTATGTAAGAGATTATGGCATGATTCGGTTTATATCACAGCCCTACTGCGTATTTCTCTTCCTTTCTTGATACGAAGTAAACATATCAGAATGCTCCAAAGAATCAGTCCGTAATGATATCAACTGTAATGATATCAACTCATCCATTTCTCATATGCAGAACATGAGTTTTATTTCTGACAGTGATAAGGGGCTTATTTCCTTTTTAAACAACAAAGCCTCAGATTCTCCAACAGTACAGATGTGTAAAGTTTTTACTACCTGTTTATGAGCCCGTATGAGCTATGTCTATGTGCATAAATTAAAAATTATCCCCTGCCGCAGACTTGATTGCAAGTTTCTTAATACTTTTTTCTCCTTTTAAAGTTTTTGTCCTAAACATTAAACTCCGTTTTATGACAAATAGATGATGCAGAAAAGATGTTGAGATAAAATTTCATTTGTCAAATGCCAACTCAGAATATATATTTAAAACTGGAGTATTAATTAGACAAACCACATGGTGAAAACAAAAATTGAAAAGAAAAGATTGTCAACTACATCAGTGCCTGATAACCATTTTCTGGGACTTCAGATAGAAGTTCTGTCTGAACCTACGATTCCAGAAAATGATGTTCAGTTTTAGGAATGCTAATTGCTTATTAGAGTGAGTATATTTTCTTCTGGATATTTATTTTTTGTCTTGAGCTCACTGATATGTAGCAAATGTTAATCAAAAGCCTGCAATTAGCATGTTTTTGTCTTGCAGACTTTCCTCTGCTAGTGAGCCTTTGTTTGGACCTCCAGCTGCACAGGAAGGTTTGGTGTCTGGAAAGGATGGATGCCTGACATTCCCCTCCACAATTTGGGACAGTCACAAAACACTCCAACCAACCAGCCAACCAAAGCAGCAACAGGGCTATAAGGAAACTTGGAACTTCTCAGTTGACAAAGCCTATCTGCTGACCAACATGTTTATTTTCTT